GATAAAATAAATACTTTGAGTTCTCTGCACAGCAGAGTGAGAAAAGCACTTATTAAAGCACTTTTCGAGAGACCTCTACATTTCTCTATAGTGTATAAACTGGTTCAGAAGCATTTTTTTCAATGTGCTATCTGTAAAGTCAATACAGAAAATATTTCATACAAAGAAATCAATGAACCACATTAAAAACAGATATTAATTTCCATTTAATGTTTTTTTTTTCCATCTTCCTCTGTGCCAGTTCCTCGTGACAAACAAACAATTGTCCCTTGAAGAAGCAGTTGGGGTTAATGGCAGTCCCGCATTGTGTTCCACAAATCCTCTGATGTGCACTCGACCAGCAAGTGAAATGGAAAAATCTCCTAAATGCAAGACACTGTATCATGCTTCAGGGACTTCATACAGGGAAAGCACTTCAGTAATGGCACACGAGAGATGGCGGTGTATCAGATGCTCCAACATTGGCAAATATCATTGGTTCTATGTGATGCTTTTCCACCCTTATTCTCCACCGGTAGCTCCTGCATATTTCCCAGGCAATATGTGAAAAGTCTCTTCACTGTTATTTGCAAAACTACAAATTTTAACTAATTAACTCAGAAATGACAAAATTGAGGCAAAAATAACAGAAATACAAGAATTCTCTAAATCAGTTATAGTCACGACTTGGCTATTTTAGACTCAATTATGAAATTTGGATTTAATTTGCATTAGATAATCCAGGAGATATATTCCAGAAAGATAATCATAAAATAATCCAGGCCATAGATTCCAAAAAAACAATAGTAATAAAAGCCAAGTCTAGGATCCTATTGTTACAATCATCTGATAAGTTAGGCCAAGGATTCCCAGGATACATGAATAAGGCAAGTCAATGCATTCCATCGATACAATCATTATTATAAATATTGTTATTACTGGCATTTATAAAGTGCCAACGTCTTCCGCAGGGCTGTGTCAATCAGGTAAAATAGACATTACAGAATAGACAAGCCAATATGACAGGAATAGAGCTGAGACCTAGCGTTTAGAGCCATTTCATACGATGTACTAAGCTAAATGTCTTGTGACTTTACAATCTAAAGGCTATGATGGGAACAAGAAGGAGCATGTACAGCTGAGGAAAGCAGGGATGGAGGGGGTTTAAAACAAAGGAAGGGGGAGGGAGAAATAAACGTGTTGTTTTAAAATTTAAAAGTTCCCCAGATAGATTCTATAACCCCAAAAATAATAATATGTATTGTAGATACCAACAGAGAGCACATACAGAATACAATAAATACTACATGTGCAGAAAATTGAAAAAGTAATAATGGAAAAAATATCCACAGAATAAATGAACGTGGGATAGAATAATAGTACTTTAGTGTCTTTAAAACTGCCTTCGGTAACTCAAAAATACGACAAACCAGATCCAGAGATTCCAGAGATACAATCATATGACAAGACAGGTCATGTATTCCAGAGATACAGTCATACAACAAGCCAAGCCATGTATTCCAGAGATACAGTCATACAACAAGCCAGGTCATGTATTCCAGAGATACATTTATACAACAAGCCAGGTCATGTATTCCAGAGATACAATCATACAACAAGCCAAGCCATGTATTCCAGAGATACAATCATACAACAAGCCAAGCCATGTATTCCAGAGATACAATAATACAACAAGCCAAGCCATGTATTCCAGAGATACAATCATACAACAAGCCAGGTCATGTATTCCAGAGATACAATCATACAACAAGCCAAGCCATGTATTCCAGAGATACAATCATACAACAAGCCAAGCCATGTATTCCAGAGATACAATAATACAACAAGCCAAGCCATGTATTCCAGAGATACAATAATACAACAAGCCAAGCCATGTATTCCAGAGATACAATAATACAACAAGCCAAGCCATGTATTCCAGAGATACATTCATACAACAAGCCAAGCCATGTATTCCAGAGATACATTCATACAACAAGCCAAGCCATGTATTCCAGAGATACAATCATACAACAAGCCAAGCCATGTATTCCAGAGATACTTTTATACAACAAGCCAAGCCATGTATTCCAGAGATACAATCATACAACAAGCCAGGTCATGTATTCCAGAGATATATTCATACAACAAGTCAGATAATTTATTTCAGACAAACAACAATCATATGACAGCCAGATTTTGTATGCCAAATAAACAATCATATGATAAGCCAGGTCATATATTCCTGAGATACAATTGTAAGCTTCAGAAAAGCTCTCTGTGAGTCAAAATGGCATGTGCCAATATAATACCTTATAAAGGAAACGTGGGTGCCTGGTCATTAGTATGCTGTGGATGTTTGAGCTTGGCCACCCCTAGACCATGTGCACCATATAAGCTGATTGACGTGCCCCTTCTCCTGTTTCAATACATTTGCTGCAATTAAAAAACATCTCTAATGATATTCATGTGCTATATACTTTGCATTCAAATAAATAGCTCAATCTTAAATAATATAACATGATCCAATTGTTTGGGCACTAAACACAAAAATCTATTGATTTACAAACCAAAAAATAATATAGCTCTGGCACTCTGTGTCTAATAGGATGTAGGTGCAAAGCTCAGGTCAAACTCATAAAGAAAAAGGGCACTGCATTCAACTCTCTTAAATATGATCAGCCAAATAAAAAAATTAATTATGAAAAATATTTTACCTTTTACAATTCTTTATATTATAGTCGACCGTCAGATTTACAAAGGTTAATCCAAGTGGGGAAAAAAAACCCACAACAAGTGACAACATTAAATATAGAATTAAAAGTAATACTGTTCCTTGGCATGCTAAAATCCCCCCCTTATTTGCTATAGCAACAGTTTATATGTCTGATACATGTTTCATGGAAGGAAGGAAATATCAGCGGACACTGTCTGTCCAACAAAGAACATGGACTGGATATTTATGAATAAGTGTTCCTCAAACCCAAAAAATGAAAAGGGCAAGAGCAAAAAAATAATAAAAATATAGCAGATAGACTTGGTTGTGTGTTATATGATTACATTTTGTTAGTAAGTCCATGTAGGCTGGAAAAATGCAAATAGCTTTCCAAAGGTCAGCATTTGCCATAACCAAGGAAAATATGTCCAAAGAGTCACAATATCACAATCAAATGATACAATTACCAAAATTATGAAAAAATCTATTTCATTAACTGGTGGTCGCGGAATGCACAGGGAACTCCAAACTCCTGGACAGAACACTCAGGACTTCCACCACTACTATTCATTTTGAATCCAGGTATCTTTGAAAAATGATCAACAGGCACAGGCTAGTTTCTTACTTGTACAACATAGCGCTTATTTTAATATTTTATAATCATACAAAATACTAATTCTCATATTATTATTATTGTTATTATTATTATGCTTCTTTTTTAGTTTCTCATACTTGGAGTGAACAGAAGTGAAACCTGGTGTTTGCGCACTTAATACATTTCGTACACCATAATCAAGATTTCAATTTCAGTTTTGGTTGCTTCTTATGTGTAACAAAATCAAGAAAGCCAATGAATATGTCCACCTGCCTCTCAATCTGAAACAAATTATCAGTATGCTGGTCTAAAGAAATGATAACAAAAAACTTAAAAACATAAAATAAAATGAACATAGTATTTCTTAGTTTATTCACGTTTATTGATTTATTTTTCTCAAAGGACATTTTCCTGAATATTATTTCTTGAATAAAACATCTGCTCAAGCACTTTTTCATTTTACTTCAGGCATAGCAATCTGGATATGATAACTTTTATATTACTTTTATTCTGAGAATTTGCATACATTTTCTTTACTGTGGGCAAAATGTTGCAGTTTTATATTAGGGTAAATTAAAATGAACACAAAATCTTTCACAGATGATATGAATTCGTAAACTTTCTAAATACGCAATACTATGTTACACCACTTTATAGAAATGAAACAAAATTCTACTTAAAAATCTAATTATTTTTCAAAATGAAAGTCAAATAGTGCCTACAAATGCATCAGGCATCTTAACTCTGAATTACAAAATTTACATTATAATTATGTTCTATATGACATTTGATGTAAACTCAAAATGTATTATTTTAAAGTAACTACCGGTAAATTAAATCTCCTTTTTTTTTTTTTTAAAGGTAAACCCTTAGACCAAGAGCTGATGCATCTATAAGAATTTTACCTTATCAATGTACCTTTAGAGATCTTGAGACTTTAAACCAAGTTTAAAGCAAAAAAGAAAGGATGAGCGGGCAAAAGCTTAGAGAGACTCAATAGCTTACATCCCCACTCAGGCCTCAGAATAGTTTTCCCTCGCTTATGCCATTACAGAGAGGACATATCTGAAGCATATCAGACTGGTCCCACCCGTACGGGCAGTCCAGAACCGAAATGCCAGCAAGTTCCCTCTGCACGAGCGATACAGTAACGCCAGTCGATCGTTTCAACCTTGTAAGGTATCATCAGTGATGTATAGCCAATATCCCTCTAGGCATCAGGAGCAAGGGGTCCACGTCTGGATTGCCATTTAAACTTAAGGAGAGAAATACAAGTAGCAAGAGAGGTGAGAACGGACAACAGCTCAATTAGCCTGCCCATCAGTGGGTCCCCGCTCAGATCTCAAGCTGGTTTTGGCTCAACTTGTGCCATTACAGAGAGAACATATCTGAAGAATTTCAGACTGGTCCCACCCGTATGGGCAGTTCAGATCCAAAATGCCAGCAAGTTCCCTCTGCACGAGAGATACAGCAAACCCAGAAGATCATTTTGGCCTTCTTTTGGGCCTTGTCAGTGAGGTGAAGCCGATATCCCTCTAGGCACAGTGAGCATGGGGTCCAGGTCTGGATTACCCTTTTAACTTGGTGTGAGCCAAGTTAATGCATTAAAGGAAAAAATAATTTTTTTTGAGTACGGGAAAAAACACCTTTGCACAAATTGCTTAAAGGCAGAAGCAAAAGTGATTTAACTTCTGAATGGCAGAGAATTGAGCAGTGAGACTGGAGAAGAAGAATATATACACTAAAACTGCTTTATTAAGTTGTATTAGTGTATATATTATGCTTCTCCATCTCCAGTCTCACTGCTCAATTCTCTGACATTTAGGAATTAAATAACTTTTGTTTCTGTTTATGCAGCCCTAGTCATACCTCCCCTGGCTGTGACTGACCCAGCCTACATGCAAACAAAATGGTTTAATTTTCAATCAGATGTTAACTTACTTTAAAAATCTTCATCTCCTGCTCGGTAAATTGAACTTTAATCGCACACAGGAGGCTCCTGTCGGGTCTAGCAAGCTATTAACAGAGCAGGAGATAAGAAATTCTGTATTAAACAGATGTAAACATTAGATCTTTCTTTACAGGAAGGAATTGTTTAAGAAGGCTGTGCAAGTCACATGCAGGGAGATTTGACCAGGGCTGCATAAACAAAGTGATTTAACTCCTAGATGGCAGAGGATTGAGCAGTGAGATTGCAGGGGCATGATCTTTACACCAAAACTGCTTCATTAAGCTAAAGCTGTTTTAGTGGTTATAGTGTCCCTTTAAGGGGTTTTGTCCCCAGTTGTGCACAAATTGTTAAATGGATTTCATTCCATTCTTCTCATTGGATTAAGATCAGGCTTATTTGACTGCTTAGATGTCACTTTTGGGTTACAGTGTTAGAAAGTGCCATAGATTCACATTGGGATTGCAAACAGAACTTTCACTGGACCGTATGTTCTTTGACTTTTTTATCTTCAGTCTCTTCATTGTTGTTCTATCCTTGAATGTGTGATCATTGTGTTGCTGAGAGACTACCTACAGATTTTCAGTGGCTTAAGCAGGTTCCCTTGCAGTTTGATCTTTCAATTCTTTTATCAATTTAAAAGAAAATGTTCAGTCTCTGTTCGCGAGAAGCATCATAAGAAGCATTATTCTGCCAGTATTATACTTCTCTGTAAGGATTGCGAGTCTTGAGCCGACGGTAATCTTGTCCTCCACAGACAGAACTTTTGAGAATTACATTCCTGTGTTATGTAGAAGTCATTTTATGTTTAGCCAACGATACCAACCTCAATCAATGCACTCTGTAATTCCTTCAATGGATTACTTGACTTCTGTTTCGTATACTTATTCCTTGAAATTTGCAGATCATGAAGATATCATGTATTTACTGTAGCCACAGTGTCTTTTGCCATCTTTAAATGAACAAGCCTCCTGGTACACATTGGTACACACATGTGCACTTACCAACGTAAACACGTAGACAACTGTTTCTGTTAAATAGTTTTCTCAGATTTTGAAAGTAACATTTATTTTGGAAATGTCAGACACTTATGTAGGTAATTTATATCTGATAATAGAGATTGTTGGACACATCGCATATTTTTTCTTATAATCTCTATAATTATTTGTTTTTAGTAATTACACGCAGTTGATAATTAGTCTTTAAAATGTGATCATAATCAATCTATTGACTGCAAAACATGTCTGGTAAAATTTGTCACATAACTGTTGTATTTGTTAGAGATGCAATAACCATTTTTTATTAATAATGACCAATTTGTACAAATGTGATAACACTAATAAGGAAGTAGCATGTCCTCCTATTCATGTATCAGCTACAGGGGGAAGGTTTATAGTTGTAGCAATGTTTGCAAATTGCTGGATGCAGTTAAATCTTTGCAATGCAAGCTTTGCACACATACAACATTGTTATGGTACTTAGAGATTTTTTAATACAATATTTACCTGTATGTTATACAATGTACAAGTCTTCTACTTATACTTGACTATCACAACTATTTTTCATTGCCAAAGCAATATCCTGGGTGAATCTGAATAGTATAGATAAAATCTGTTGACCCGAAAATCTTTGATTAAGAAAAAAGTATTCAAATATTCTGACGAACCAGTGTATTTCAACATGAGATACTAAGACACAATTTGCCATTTTCCAATCTTTCAATAATCAGGATTTGATCAACAAGCACAGGTAAACAGAAAGGCTTACTTACCATAATGTGGAATTATAGCCCACGCCATGGCCGATGCATAGATTCCACCAATCATCCAAAACATGCATAGCCAACTCAAATGTTCTCCGCGTTTCTCCCGTGCGAGAACTTCAGAAAAGTAGGAGAACGCAGTTGGCAGCGCTCCTCCAATTCTGCAAATTATAAAATTAAGATGTTAATAATGTGATGTTTGCACAATCATGAATACAAAATGTAATACAATAATTAATATCTTTTTAAAATGTTCAAATCACCTTAACACATTATCAACACAATACTACGTGAGCAAAGATAACCTGCATAAAGAAATAATAATATTAGTCATAAATAAATTAATTCAGAAACATTTCCAAAACTCCATGAAAATATCACCCAATTTGCAAGTTTTAGTTAAACTGGAAAAATCTTAAGAATTTTCCTCTAATGAAATTTGAAAAAAGCATACAGAACAACTACAGCTCATTGTATTTGTTCTGGTGAGTAGAATCCTTCCCTTCAGGCTTTTTGCCATAAACACTGTTTTTTCAGAGTAAATGCTGTGTTTACATTACAGCATAGGGATAACTCCACTGGCCATGCCTCAGATGGCTGCTAGAGGTGCTTCTTGGTGCAGTGCTGCATAGTGTGCAGCACTGACATTCAGTCTCTCCACCCTTTTCATGGAGACTCTGAACTTGTTTAAATGCATCTCTATGAGGAGATCCTGATTGGCCAGGGCTGGGTTTGACTTGTGCTGGCTCTGCCCCTGATCTGCCTCCTTGACAGTCAAATGTTTTCCTATGGGAAAGCTCGTCTGATGATGTCAGCCAAGGAGGGGCAGAGTCAGCAGCACCAGACTGGAATAAAGGTAAGATTGTTACTATATGTAGCAGGGTCATGGGGGGCAGGGGGGCTATGTGATGTTTTTAACACTGTAGAGTCATGGATACATGTTTGTGTTCCTGATCCTATGGTGTTCCTTTAATACAGCAAAATGAAATAATGCAAAATCGGTTTTCAAGACTTAGCTTGATAATACATCTAGAATCATAATTGATAAGTCACAATACAGCACAAAAATTTGCTGTCAGTGAACAGAAAATGTTCAGATTAGAATAAATATGACCGCCTGTGATGTCTTTTATAAAAAGAGACATCACAGCAACAAGACTAAAACTGGGCACACTGTATAACTTCACATATAAATATTTAACCACTTAAGGACGTCCGGCGTTTGTATGCCGTCCTTTTGGGGTAGCTCTAAACACCGGGTCCCCCTGCCTGATCCAGCCTTCCCGGGCCATGTGATCGCGGGGTCCTCACTACCGTACCATTCCTGGGCTACCATACAGCCTCAAAGGCAACATGACCAGTCTGGCAAATTTCAATGTGCTTAAACTGAAAAATGTAATGTGCTATATTTGACCCTGTAACTTTCCAAAACACTATAAAACATGTACATGGGGGGTACTTTTGTACTCAGGAGACGTCACTGAATACAAATATATGTACTTTATTGCAGTAACAGCTAAAAGAATTATGACATTCACAGTTAAAATGCCATGCAGAACTAAAGAAATTAAGTATTAATTTCTCACTTTTTTAAAATATTTTTTCATATTAAATTATATTTCAGATATAAATATTTTATGTGAAATAAAAGCCCTGTTTCTCCTGAACAAAATGATATATAATAAGTGTGGGTGCACTTAATATGAATGAGGTGAAACATGTAGCGCAAATTCCAGGTTTTGTTTACGTTTTGTTTTGATCACAACTTGTACAACTGCCTCCGTCCTTAACCCCTTAAGGACACAGCTTCAGAAGCTTGACTTACGCTTAATGACACAAGCAATTTTTGCATTTTCTTGCTGTTTGCGTTCAACTGCAATTTGCATCTCTCTCATTTATTGCACCGACACACATTATATACTGTTTTTTAAAGGACAGAAAGGGCTTTAATTTGATATAACATATAGATATATAAATGCTTACTTATTATAAAAAAAATACAGAAAAATGCAAAAAAAATGAAAAATATTGTTTTTTTTTACAGTTTTTGCAATAATAATGTGTGCATAATTAGTGCAGGTTAAGGAAAGTAATTAAAAATAAATTTATTTATTTGTTCTGATTTACAGAATATATAATGTGTCTGGGATTTTAAGTTTTTTTTGGTAGTTACAGGTCACAAAGCACAAGGAGTAAAATAAACTTTTAATGTGGAGCGATTTTAGAATTTGGTATGTTTGTCTTGTAAGCTTAATAGCCATAAAAGAAAACAAAATTGCCACACAAAAGTATATATTTATATAAAGTAGACATCACAGGCTATTTACCTAAGGTTATTTTGACACTTTCTACGTAGCCATTTCACCGCCAACCTCTGCTAAATATTGGAGTAAAATTGTGTTCTTTTGGTTTTTGGCACACAAACTTATAACAGAGAAATTCTCGTGTATATTTTGTAAAGTTGGTGTGTGCTATTCCTGTACAAAGTTTTATTTTGTGTTCAGTTACATCTGTTGAGTAAAATGACACCCCCATTGTATGTCTTTTGCACTATTTCGTGAAGTTACAGTGCCATACAGGATACCTGTCCTTTTCAGTATTCACAGTAGAATTTTGAGAGATGGATTTAATGAGCCTTAGCTTCCATTTTGGGGTATTATAACAGTTTGACTGTTCAAAACCCCCCCACAAAGGCCTACCATTTGTAAAAGTAGACACTCCAGGGTATCTTATAAGGTGCATATTGTGCCTTAACATGCCCCCATTTTTTCACCAATATATGCCAAAGTATGTGGTAAAAAAATAATTTGTGCATTTTTTACATACGGATTGCATTTTTGCTGGGCGTTTTGTATATTTCATATGTGCCACTAAGTTCAAACCCCCAAATTATGCTCAGCTAAGTCTTCTGAGTAAAATGACACCCCATATGAATGTCTTTGGCACTATTTCGTGAAGCTACAGTGCCATATATAGGAGACCTGTCCTTTACAGTATTCACAGTAGAATTTTGAGAGATGGATTTAATGAGCCTTAGCTTCCATTTGGGGTATTATAACAGTTTGACTGTTCAAAAAACCCCCACAAAGG